GTATATTTATATTTGTAGCAGATAATATATTACATATGCATTACACATATACAATATATATATGTATACATACATATATAGCTGCCTACCTATATAGACAAGGTCTGTCCAGAAGGTATGCAGCCACATAATATGAAAAACAGAGACATTTATTGAAGAAGATGTAAGAAACACTGTACATCAGATAATGGCAACCCAGTCCCCTTCAAACTAGGCACCTTGGGACCTCACACAGTTCTCCCAATCGCCATCAGCTACCCCGTCATATTTTCCTGAATATCACTGAGGGTCTGAAGTCTCTTCTCTTTCAAAGGTGATTTTGGTTTTGGGAAAAGCCAGATGTCACAGGGTGCCAAATCTGAGCCATAGGGGGGCTGAGTCACCTGGGTGATTTGATGTTTCACCAAATACTCTGCATGAGTATGGCAGCCTTTGGTGCCATATTTTGACATAATACATGAGTGGGCATGTTGTCATGATGAAGCTGCCAATCACCAGTTGCCCACAGCCTCAGCCTTCTGAATCATCTGAATAGTTTCATGGAGGAATGTTCAAGCTTAATGAAAAATTAGATGCAGATTTGTTGCTCTACTGGCTCAGTCACTTTGAATGTGATGGTCAGACAGTACACATGCTCACTCAGTGGCATCTACTGCTCCCACTGACTAGTAGAGTGAAATCATCATTGTTCATGCATGCACATTCCAGTCCACTCTCCTTGGCTCTCCAGTTACAGCGATGTCATATAAATCGTTCTTGTTATACTAATGATGGTTCAACTTTTTCCAGACAGACCCTGTATGTGCAGTTACTTTGTGGTCATCCATAACGAAGACACATCCAAAGAATAATTTTAGGAAAGTGGCATTAATGATCTCTAATACTCCAGAGTATCAAAAATTTAAAAACAAAAAGATAATTAAGTGTGGATCTTCCCTACCCCAGGCCTAATGGAAGTGTTTGGTGCTTGGGTTTCTAGTACCGCTGCCACAAGTTTTGGTGGAATGGAGGTCTATGTGGCTTCTCTTATAGCCGACCAGAGGAAAAGGCCTCAGGCCTTAGACAATGCAGCTGTGAGCATGGACTCTGGAGTAGCCAGTGACTAGTGAAGATGATTCAGAGGCTTTGAGACTGTACAGCTGAGAAGAAAACTACCAATCCAATAGATAGACCTGGTATTTTGTAAGTCTCCCAGCAACCTCAAGTTAAACTGCCAAGAAAGGCCTTTGGTTTTGCACAAAATATATAACTACCCAGATATTATGATTAATTATTTTTATTAAATCCTCACCAAAGGATATGTTTATTGATTTTAGAGAAAGAGACATCGATCACTTGCTTGCTGTACGGGTCCCTATAGGGGATCTAACCAGCAGCCTTTGGTGCCATATTTTGCCATGCATAATGCACTCCTGTATATAAGGTGCACCCACAACTTAGTACTACCCATGTATAATGCACATCCTTATTTTCCCCTCAAAAAATCTGGGCAAAATGCTCATTATACACTGCAAAATTCAGTACATGAGCCAATGCTCTAATCAACTGAGCCACCCAGCCACTGCCCCTCACCTACTTTTATTCAAAATTAAAGGCTGATGAGCTCTGGCTGGTGGTGCCTTAGTGGACTGAGTGCCAGCCTGGGAACCAAAGTGTCATCAGTTTGATTTTCAGTCAGGGAACATGCCTGGAATGTAAGCCAGGTCCCCAGTGGGGGAGGCACATGAGAGGCCACCACACATTGATGTTTCCTTTTCTCCTTCCTTTCCCCTCTCTAAAACTAAAATCTTTAAAAAAATAAATAAATGTGGATCTTACATCACTGGGTGACCTTAAATAGTATAATTAAATAGAATAGGAAGAATTCAGATAGCAAGGATTTAAAGAATAAGTGCTAAAGGACTTGAAAATCACAAAAGGCCCCAGGTTGGAAACACTAAAAGGCTCTTTTGCCAAGATTGCCTAGAAGGTTATCACTAGCACTTTTGTTATTAGCAAATGAGAAAGGACAGATAAAACGATGGTTGGAAATGAATTCAAATTTTATTCTTAATTCTCAAGTACTTGGTTCCTAGGCTTGTCAGAAACAAACAAAAAACATTTATTGAAGCTAAAATATCAACATTCAGTTCATCCAGGGGTCCTCAGGCCCTAGCATATATCAGGTCATGGTGGCCAAGCTGATTTATACCAAAAGGCAATTAAATAACTTATGATAAAAAGCACAGCTGTTAAGCAGATTAGTATTGGCAAGTCAGCACATTTTACTGCTCAGGGCAGACGCTGTCTCAGTGAAGCAAGTTTAAAATTACAAGGTTTGGTTGTCATCCCCACCAACAGAAAGGTTTGTCCTCCCACTATCTTCTCTCTTTTTCATTGCCACTTTTTAATATAGTCCAGACTTTACTAAAACTCGCGTGCTTTAAAAAGGTAAATTTTGAGCCTTTGCTAAGACTAAATTCAAACTTCTGAGAGTGAGACTCATAAATGTGTATCTTTTAACAGCTTCACCACTCCATCTGAATGACTTTGAGGCACATTAGAGAATCTTTGCTACGGTCTGTACTCACTTCCACTTCCTCACCTCATACTTCTTAGTTCATCTGGTTTCTACTGCCCCACTCTGTTCTTCTCTTGCTGAAATGTCCCATGACATCTTAATTTTCAGCTCTAGTAGCTTTCTCCTTATTCATCTAAAACAGTGAGTGTTTTTGCCCCTTTCTTGGGACTTTCTTCCTCTTGACTTCCGAGGCAGCATTCACTCCAGGTTCTCTCCCTGCTCACTGGACTTGGTTTGCTTTCCTTGCTGAACCCTCTTCCGCTGCCTTGGCCCGTACACTGGTGGTTTCCCCAGAGTCCAGTCCTTGTATTTTCCTTTGTTATTTCTAAACTGTCTTTGGAGATAATTTCATTCATTCCCACTTCTTTTTCCATTGACTACGTTTTCACAATTCCCAAGTCTTTATTTCCAATCCTGAGTCTTTTCTTAACTCTCCTCGTTAACTTCCAGTGTTCACCTAACTGCTTCCAAGAATTAAGTCAAGTTGAGATAGGAGTAGCAAAAAAGGCAAAAGTGGAGCTGCTCGCATGAGGTCTTGGAGAGGCTGGGAAAGTGCTCTGGCAGAACTGCCTAAGATTAGACAGGCCCAGTGTACAAGACACGTAAGAAGACCCAGGTGACATCAGCCCAGGAAACACAGAGCTAGTGATTGAGTAGATGGATCCAACCCAGAGAACCTAAAGCCTGGAGACAGTGTCCGTGTTGAGCAACTGGGGGTCATGAGCAAGGGGCAGTAAAGCCAACTGCAGACCAGAACAGAAGCAGGAACTGAGGCAAGAGCGTGGTCAGGAGCAAGACTGGGAGCCACACACATATTGATCCAGGTGACTGTAAAATGGGGAGCACAGTGCTAAAGCAGTCAGGTTGGCAGGGAAGTTTCAAGGGATAAAAAACTCCATTACTTTATCTATAAAAGTTTCTTTAAAAAGCATCTAGAGAGCTTAGATTTACTACGTGTTTAATGTAAGGTGGTCAGAACATTCCGGGATTATCCTACTTGAGAACAATTTCTCTTCCTCCACTCCCTCCTTTTTAAGTGTCTAATCATAAAACATTTCAAATAGAAAAATACTTCGATACATGTTGCGCGTGGGTCACCGGCCAGCAGTGACCACGGAACACTGTGGATGGCTCGACAATACTCGAGAAAAAACACACATGCACAGAGACAGACTAGTTTCTGTGGGGAAGTAGGGACGGAATGGCCACCCCCCCAGTGGGGGAGCGCGCTGATTTACCGTCCATACCTGCTTTTATTAGGCTCATTTTGCATAATAATTCAGGTAAAGTACAGTACTCATTAGGGGAAGTAAGGAACTATAGAAAACAAAGAACTCTGCCGGTCTATTGAGTTGGGGTCAAAGAGCTGTAAGACTGAGGAACAAAATAACTTCCTCCTAAGACCCTTCTCATTCAACTGAGAGCATTCTAAACAAAGAAGGTTTCACAGTAATTTACATATTCTTTCTTAGGCCTGATCACCCTGGGGAATCCGCACTTCTCAGTACCGAGCTGCACCACCCTGTCATTGTTTCAGGCTTAGGTGGAGCAAGGGAACTAAGGCAACCGAGAGATAAGGAGATTTTCTTCCAGACACTGAGAACTCAGGCTATGTCAAAGCCAAGGAGCGAGGGTCCATCACCCCCTTTTGCTGCAGCCCCCCAAGTCCTTCTTTTAGGGGGGCCTCCCAAAGTGATCGTGCCTGTCTTAGGTTGTTCCCCCCGTGGGGAATCTTACCCATCTTTGGCTAACCGACCAAGCTTTTTGGGGTTCAGTTATGAATAAAGCAGCAGAAGCAGCATTCCTGCCAGGAAGATAAGCTTTTGTCTCCTTGCTGGCTTACAGTTCCAAGGGCGTTCCCTTAGCCTTAGCTAGGCGGGGGTTTCAGCTTCTGATACCAGTCAGGGCGGTTCCCAACAGATACATATGTAGCCTCCATAGAGATTGAGCAGATATTAATATCGTACTATAACTGGGTCAGATTTCTGTCCTTGTTTAAACAGGTCCGCTGGTGTATGGAGAGAGCTGAAGGCACCTGCCCAACATTCTCTGTTCACCCTGTTCCCAGAGGTCGTCGTCACTCTGCCGGAGTCAGTGTGTGTCAGTATCATGCCTGGTTTATTTCTTTCACTACAGTGCAAATACTAATAATAAATCCATAATTTTTAAGTCAGCACCGGGTAAAAAGAATAGAAAATGCATGTCACAGTGGTATTTGGGAGAAACCTTGGGTTGAGCAAACTGGTTGAAATAAGTACTTTGAGAAGGCGAAGCATTGTCCTGACCATTACTAGCCTTGGAAGAGAAGGAAATGATCAGAGAATGTTAATGTTTCACCAAGCACTGAAGTAAAAGGAGTATATAAATAAGAAACTGGCTAAGCGAGGCAATGATATTATTTCAGTCTAAGTCAATGTAAGTTTTGCTTACTATTTCCAATAAAGTAAATGCTTTTCTTCAGTGTTTACTGAGGAGGAGAAAGAAGATTCTCAAGTAATTCAACTAAGTTTTGGGTTGCTCATCCAAGAATGTGACCTTTAGCCCTGAAGCATATGATAACTCCAAATCTTTTATTAGGAAATTTTACTTCTCATCCAAACTATTTTTGTAATATGATAGATAATTTGGCCATCTGAGCTATAATGTCTCCACATACCTTGTAATTATTACTCCAACATCCTATATATAAGATAAGGATCATTTCTCTTGCTCATCAGAAAGTTTCAGTCTCCTTGGGTTTAGATTTACTTGGTAAACAAAAATTTGTTTTAATTTTTAATAAAGCAGGTGCCTTTAACAGATTCAAGTCCAAATACAATACAAAAGTATAATCAGGCAGAGGAGGTAAGTAGATGATAAAGGGTTTTTTCCTCCTAGTGAAAAGTCTAAGTAGGCGGTCCAGAGAATTATATTGCACTGGGCAGCATTAGGTACCTCGTATCTTTCCATCCTGTCATTCTCTTACCCACAGCCCAACATCGCCAGTCTGCAGTCTAGAATGGCTGCTGTCTGTACCTGTGCAGTCCGGCTAGAGGGAGAAGAAAAGGAAACATTGAAAGTAGGTCCTCGTACACCTCTAAGCACATTGCTCTGACCAGTACCTACTCACGTGGTCACATCTAGCTGTAAGAGATACAAGGAAATGTAGTCTTTAGTCTGAGCGGCCATGTGTCCAGTTAAAATTTAGGAATTCAATGAAAGAAAAAAAGAAAGTAATAGACATTGAAAAATAATCAACAGTCTCTGCACCTCAGGCAGTAAGGTACCTGGGCCTATACTGACAGTCACTTCAGACCAGTCTCCACTACCTATTAGTCTAACATACTGAGTTGGCCAAAAAGTTCATTTAGTTTTTTCCATATAGTAAAAGACACATTTTTCATTTTCACCAATAACTTTATTGATTTGGATATGTTGAGTATGTTAGCAATCTCCCACTATTGGCCTCTAGTGGGTAGAGGCCAGGAGTGATGCTAAATTTCTTCCAATGCATAATGCACCCCCACAACAAAGAATTATTTGGCCAAAATGTCCAAAGTACCAAGA